TTTATAGACATTGTTTATCCCTCCTTTTATCTAAAGTTTTTTAATGTTTTACGTGATACTTTATGATTTTTTCTATAAAAAGATTTCAACTCTTTTAGATGTATTTCATTTCTTCTAGATTAATGATACCTTAAAATTACATTTTCCAGTCATTGTGTCTGATTTGGGGATGCAACTGATTATGAATGTTTATTGGGTATTCAACAATCTGAATGAACTCTCTCTTTTTTTTTTTTTTTGTGAAGAAAATCAGCCCCGAGCCAACATCCATGCCAATCCTCCTCTTTTTGCTGAGGAAGACTGGCTCTGAGCTAACATCTATTACCAATCCCCTTCCTTCCCCCCACCCAAAGCCCCAGTAGATAGTTGCATGTCGTAGTTGCACATCTTTCTAGTTGCTGTATGTGGGATGTGGCCCCAGCATGGCCGGAGAAGCAGTGCCTCGGTGCGCGATCGGGATCCGAACCCAGGCCACCAGTAGCGGAGCATGCGCACTTAACCGCTAAGCCATGGGGCCGGCCCCTGAACTCTCTTCTTAATTGTTTCCCTGTAGGTTCCCTTTAATTTCCTATGAAGTATAAATATAACCTTTAGGTAATCCTATTACCTTCATTTCTAATACACATATGTTGTCTTTACTTTTTCTTCTCTTATTTCCTTGGCCAGGGCTCTGGGACAATGTTGAATAGAAGTGATGATAGTGGTAGTATTTGCCTCGTTAATTTTGAAGATAATTATTTAAAAATATTATTTTTAACTTTATTGGGAAATAATTGACAAATATAATTGTATATATTTAAACATGATTATTTGAAGTACCTATACAATGTGTAAGGATTACCAACATCAAGGTAATTAACACATCCATAACCTCACATAGTTATGTCTTTGTGTGTGTGTGTGTGTGTGTGTGTGTGTGTGTGTGTGTGTAGTGGGACTGCTTAAGATTTACTGTCAGTAACTTTAAAGTATGTAATTCCAAATTATGAACTATAGTTACCATACTGTACACGGAAACTTTAGAACTTCTTCTAACTGAAGATTTGTACCCTTACACCTACATCTCCCCGTTTCCTTCTTCCCACAACCCATGAAAACCACCATTCTATTCTCTACTTCTATGAAATCTGATTTTTTTTTTATTCTGTATGTAAGTGATACCACACAATATTTGTCTTCCTCTGTCTGATTTATTTCACCTAGCATCATGCCCCTCAGTTTCATCCATGTGGTTGCAAATAGCATAATTTCCTTCTCTTTTATACCTGAATAATATTCAATTATATATATATATATGTATATATATCCTATTTTCTCTATCCATTCATCCATTGAAGAACATTTAGGTTGTTTCCATATCTTAGCTATTGTAAATAATGCTGAAATAAACATGGGTGTGCAGATATCTCTTCAAGATGCGGATTTCAATCCTTCAGAAATATACCCAAGAGTGGGATTACTGGATCATATTGTAGTTCTGTTTTTAAATTTTTGAGGAACTTCTATACTGTTTATCATAATGGTTGTACCAATTTACATTCCCACCACCACTGTATAAAGGATTCCCTTTCTCCACATCATCACCAATGCTCAATATCTCTTGTCTTTTTGATAATACCCACCCTATCAAGTGTGACGTGATATTTCATGGTGGCTTTGATTTGCCTTTCCTTGATAATTAGTAAGGTTGAGCACCTTTTCATATACATACTGGCAATTTGTGTGTCCTCATGGAAAAATATTTATTCGGGTCCTTGCTCATTTTTTAATTGGACTATTTGGTTTGTTGCTGTTGAGTTGTATGAGTTCTTTATATTTTGGATATTAACCCCTTGTCAAATATATAGTGTGCAAATATTTTTCCCATTTCATAGGGCTTTTTCATGTTACTGATTGTTTCCATTGTTGTGCAGAAGCTTTTTAGTTTTATATAGTCCCACTTGTTTATTTTAGCTTCTGTTGCTCGTGCTTTTGTTGTCTTATCCAAGAAATTATTGCCAATTCAATGTCAAAGATCTTTTCCCTGTGTTTTCTTATAGGACTTTTACGGTTTCAGGTCTTACATCTTTGATCCATTTTGAGTTAATTTTTGTGAGTGGTGTAAGATACGGGTCCAGTTTCATTCTTTTTTGTCTGGATATCCAGTTTTCCCAATACCATTTATTATGGAGACATCCTTACCCCATTGTGTGTTCTTAGTGCCCTTACCAAAAATTAGTTTACCATATATGTGTGGGTTCACATCTGGACTCTCTATTCTCTTCCACTGGTCTATGTGCCTGTTTTTATGTCAGTACCATACTTTTTTTATTACTATAGCTTTGCAATGGTGCTTGAATAGTGCAGTAAGTGTGATGCCTCCAACTTTGTTCTCCTTTCTCAGGATTTCTTTGTCTCAGGATTTGGAGTCTTTTGTG